ATTTCATTTTTAAAATATTTTTCATCTTTTAAAAATTTTGTGAAAGGGAGAAAGACAGATCTCCCATTGCTGGTTCCCTCTCAAAATGCCCTCAAGAGCCAGAGCTGGGAAAGACTGAAGCCAGGAGCCAAGAACTCCATCTGAGTCTCTCACATGGATGATAGAGACTTAAGAACTTGAGCAGTCATCCACTGTTTCCTGAGCTTGTTAGCAGGAAGCTGGATTCAAAGCAGAGGCAGAGGCAGGACTTGATCCAAGACTCTCAGAAGTTGCGGGCTGCCTAAGCAGGGGCTTAACCTGCTGAGTCACACACCACTCACCCAAGTATCTCATTTTTACAGGTCCAGTTAGCACAACTGAAGCTGATCTAACCAGAGAAGACTTCACAAATGAAACATTACAGTGAAGTGTCAAAGGGAGTAATAACCCTTTCTATTTGCTACAAATAAATGCTGTCAAGCCAACCTGAGCTGCTTTTCAACATTCAGTGTACTCACAAGTGGGTTATTTTACTCCTCATGTGAAATTTCAAGGTAAGCACGCACTTTCTTCTTTGTGCCCACGTGGCCCTGGGGCTGTCCTTCCCTCCTCTCCTCTGGGTCTTGGCCACTCCCCTTTGTTTGGGCAGAGATGGTCCTGGCCAGGACAGCAGGGATGAGAAAGGAAAGCATTCTCTTCCTCTCTGGATGGCAGTGAGGAAGGAGTTGAAAATGGAAAAAGGAGGACAATCAGGTAGTTGAAGATAAATAAAACCTCATTCTCATTTCCCCACCAATGATGGGTTGGGGTAGCTCAAGTGGGAGGAACGAGAAAGGGGAAAGGAGAAAGACTGAGGGCAGAGACAGCAGACAGAATAGGATGCATCCATTATGTCTTTGCTTTTCCTAAACTCTTGGAAGTTCGCTCACCCAGGAACAACATTCCAAGTAGCTTGAGTGAGAAAGAAGAATTTATTGGATGGCTGTAAAAACAGCTCACAGAAAGCACATGCAGACCACAGGAGGGGCTGACCTCTGCAGCAGCAGACTCACAGCTCCAGGGAAATTCTCTCTCTGCTTTTCTCATTGTCTTTCTCCATTTCTCTCTCCCCACCCAAAACCCAGGATTCCTCATTTCTTCTGTGTGCTGTTCACTCTTTTTCTGTGCATGCTGCCCTCTGCTTGTCCACTCACCCAACAGGCCTGGCTTCCTGTAGCTAAGGGGAAGTTCTTTGTTTAGAACAATGAGCAGTGGTTAACTGGTGTACCTATCCCCAGTTGCAAACTGTCAAGTTAAAATATTTGCTTAACCTAGTTTAGGTCAGCAGTCTACCTACAGCTCCACTGATTCTGGTGAGTTTTATCTCATTGCCAAGGTAGCTACTCTTATTGGGGAGAGGTACCATGGAGCAGACAGGGGAACTATGAGCTAAAAAGCAACCTAATGTATTTCTACATCCCTTGGAAAACCAGTCCTAACCTCTTAGCAGTGCCCTTGGTCTCTAGCCCTTAACATAAGAGTCTTAAACTTCTTAAAATATGTAGTGTTGTTCATAGTTGTTCAGATCACTTGCATCCAAGTATGTTTTATGAAAAAACACAGACACCTAGGCTCTTAACCCAGAACACTTCCAAGAGATACCTTTTTTAAAAAAAAACTTTCATTTAATAAATATAAATTTTGAAAGTACAACTTTTGGATTATACAGGCTTTCCCCCCCATAACCTCCCTCCCACCTGCAACCATCCCATCTCCCACTCCCTCTCCCATCCCATTCTTCATCAAGATTCATTTTCAATTATCTTTATATACAGAAGATCTACTTGGTAATACTAAGTGAAGATTGCAACAGACTGCACCCACAGAGACACACAAAGTATATTGTTTGAGTACTAGTTTTACCGTTAATTCGCATAGTACAACACATTAATGACAGAGATCCTACATGGGGAGTAGGTGCACAGTGACTCCCATTGTTGATTTAACAATTGACACTCTTATTTATGACGTTAGTCATCACCCAAGACTCTTGTCATGAGCTGCCAAGGCCATAGAAGCCTCTTGAGTTCACAAACTCCGATCTTATTTAAACAAGGCCATGGTCAAAGTGGAAGTTCTTTCCTCCCTTCAGAGAAAGGTACCTCCTTCTTTGATGGCCCATTCTTTCCACTGGCATCTCACTCACAGAGACCTTTCATTTAGGTCATTTTTTTTTCTTGCCACAGTATTTCCATGCCTTTGAAACTCTCATGGGCTTTTTAGCCAGATCCGAATGCCTTAAGGGCTGGTTCTGAGGCCTGAGTGCTTTTTAGGGCATCTGCCATTCTATGAGTCTGCTGTGTATCCCACTCAGGAGATATCTTATATGTTAAATAGACTTTTTGACTAGTTTGAAAACTCAGTGTTAAGAAGACTTTCTTTTCTTTTTTTTTTCTTTTGTTCTTTTTTTTTCTTAAAGGTCTTCCTTCCCTTGGTTCACCCCCAAAATGGCTGCTATGGCCAGCGTGCTGCGCTGATCCAAAGCCAGGAGCCAGGTACTTCCTCCTGGTCTCCCATGCAGGTGCAGGGCCCAAGGACCTAGGCCATCCTCCACTGCCTTCCCAGGCCACAGCAGGGAGCTGGATTGGAAGAGGAGCAACCGGGACAGAATCTGGCACCCCAACCAGGACTAGAACCTGGGGTGCCGGCGCAACAGGCGGAGGATTAGCCTAGTGAGCCGTGGCGCCGGGATAAGACTTTCTATTGGAAAACTTACTGAGTTTCAAATGATCTTTTAATAATTTCTGAAATAAGTATATTCTATATAATATAAAACACCTGTGATTAAAAAGTAATTAATATTTTCAAGATCAAAAGGATATCCACTTTAAATTCCGGAAAGGAACAAAAAGATGATATGGCGCGAAAATTCATATACAGATTTTCTCTCTTTGTATGCTAACCATTTACTTTTTGTATTCGTGATTACTATAGGTTTATATATAGAAAATCAATAAATCTTCATTATCTCCATCCACATTTCTTCCTCTTCCACATCTATTTTGAGTACTCCATGTTTTGATCTTATTTTCCCTTTGTTTCTAGCTCTATCTAGATAATCCTAGCATCACTATCTCATTACAACTACACAGCAGATTTCATCAAATGCCACTGCTCTCCTGTGATAGTCATCTACAACAAAGTTCACTCAAGATCTCCTTACCTATGGATGTATCATTAAGACAGACGTTTCTCTGACTGAATCACTTGTGCTTCTCCAGTTTGGAAGCACATATCCCTGTGCATGCACAAGAACTATAAGATAAAGATTATGTTTGTCAACAGAGCATTTATTTAACTGAAGATTTGGATAGGAGAGATGTAATAACTGGAAAGCAACTTAAATACTTATTTTTATCTTAACTCAAATATGTATACGAAGAATACAAAATTCATAATCAATTTTAAGAAAGAAGGGAAACTTTCAAAAAACTTGAGCTATGTCTTTCAAGTGCCCAATGTTGGGCACACTGTTAACTTGATAATAGGTTATCAGTTCAGCTAATCTTGAAAAACATACTTTCAACAGCTATGCAGATACCAGATTTAACAATGAGAAAAGATTACACAAAAATGCAGGTCAGACCCAGCAGGCCAACCCCTTCTAATTCTAATGGAGCCCCAACAGTCTCTGATTTTTAAGGGGCCAGGTGGGATCCCACAGAAAGCAATCTCATTTTCAAGTAGGTATATCTTTCAGTAGATCTTCAACAAAGTAAATATCCTCTGGAGCTGGTTTCATAATATGTTCCTCTTAAGAAGACTGGCTCTAGCCAGTTCTTGGGAAATGTGCTCACAGACAGGGATTGCCCAATTGATTCTGGTAGACAAGAAAGTACATAGGGCAGTGGAAGTCATGCCAATGATTGTACATCCATCCACATCTTTATGGATAAACTAATCTATAAAACAATGGCACACAGTTGCTTGTTATTAGAATTTAGATAATAGTCATACCATCCAAAGAGCTCAAGGCATTCTTCATTAAACTTAAAAGTAAACAATGATGTTCATTCTTTTCTGGCTGGCAGGGTGAAAATTACCTCCATGGGGTTGGCCATATAGACAGATACCTAGAGTAGACAGCTGCCCACACACTGTAATTTGAAGGGAGCCATAGGTCCTGCCTTGTGGAAAATATTTTCCCTTTTGATTTCTCAGAATAGCCTTCTCTGTACTCCTGACCTCTATTCCCACCATCAGTCACCTATGAGTTAAACATTAAGTAGAAGTACTATCCCCAAAAAGTCACTGTGGAAATGTACACTTAGATGACTTGGGGAAGAGGTGTTGGGTTTTTCCATTTGTGCAAAATCACATTGACATGGAATAGTTTTCAGACTGGAAAGCAAATACTAGGCTTTTGGTGGTATGGTCAAAAATGGTAAGTTTTCATTACAAGAGTTGAAACATCATAGGCTATTACGAAGAATCAGATGACCTGGTTGGGGCCCAGCAGAGGGCACCCTAGGAAACCAATACAGGGAGCCCAGATGCATGACTCTAGAGAGAGATCAACTAAATCATGCCTTTTCCTTCTTTGTAATTTTTCTTAAACCAGCCCTGACCACCACAAAGCAAATCAGACAACTTTAATTGACTAGAAGTAGAGTGTCCAGGAGTCAGCAAATTACTTCTGAATTGTGTAAAGTGCTAAAGCCACCATTATATTCATCACCATCACCATCACCTTCACCATCATCATCATCATCATCGCCACCACCCCCAGGGCCATATACAACTTCTCAATTGCCTGTGGGAGCCTAGTCCCTCCCTTTGGTAGGTAATAAAAAGGAGCTGCAGTCACAGAAAACAGGGAAAGATCATTAGAAAGGCAGTAAGGGGAGCCAGGAATGATAAGCACAGTCTCTGGGGCAGGAAGAAGGCTATGGGGATAATATTCTTGCTGGGTGCTCCTTGATGTAGATAGCTGGGATGGCCACCAAACTCTCTTTTCCCCTGAGAGGGGTTGGCCCACATACCTCTGCAGCTTTACAGGAATTGACAGATGGAGCTACATCGGTTCACCTGTAGAGAGTCAGAGGATACCACAAATCATTCCTGAGGAAAAGCAGAGAATTCACTCTGTAGACAACAAATGATCCCAAAACAGACTTCAGAGTATGCCTGCTGTATGCTAAAGAATAGGAAATGAACCTTGAGAAATTATCAAAACAATATTAATTACCAATGAGCAAAATACAAGTATCCAACATTGAAATTATTTTTCTTTAACAAGGATCCCATGTTCTAACAAATAAATACAGAAGTATAAACTTTGACAAGAAAAGGAGGTACAGAGATGGTCAAGGGCTGGAAAAGTCTCTGTCAACTGCATTTATCACCTACATTGTTCTCCATTTTCCTCTACTGTGAATTTTCTGTATGCAGAGCCAATGGGCTTGAGTTTGGTAAATACTCAATGATCTCTGGTTGAATGGATAAACTGAATACTTTCCCTAGGGTTGACACAAAATTTGGGTGTTAGACCAACTAGAGATAATAGAGGGAAAACTCCAGTTAGGCTAATCTAACTTGGTGAACAATCTTCGTGCTTAAGGAAACAAGTGTCAGTGATATCCAGAAAAGTGTTATGGAGCACACCAGTAGCCATGTGCAGGAGTCCAGCAACAAAGAATCCAGAAGGGATGGCAACAAAATGCACATGTTCATGGAAAGATAAAACAAGGGAAATCTGTCATTAGGCAGCAGGATCTCAACCATGGGACAGGTGTCAAGGGAGATTATAGTCATGGAGAAAGATTCACAAGAATGAGACAAAGGCCAAGTCCTAGAATATAAAATCATCAGGATAGGGATTCCAATACTTCTAGAAATAGAACATTCCAAAACCAGTAAAATGGGAAAGGGCATTTAGTTTCATTTACAAGGCAAGCAACAAGCAACAGTACAGTCTAGCAACAAGGACTGTTGGTCCACTTAACAGATCAGGAAGCTGAAGCTCTGGGCATATATGTAGCTTGTCTAAGACAATATAGTTAATTTAAATTCTTTGGGATGGGAGAGGGAGTGGGAGACGGGAGGGTTGCGGGTTAGAGGGAAGTTATAGGGGGGAAAAGCCACTGTAATCCAAAAGCTGTACTTTGGAAATTTATATTTATTAAATAAAAGTTAAAAAAATTTAAATTCTTGATCCTGGTTTAAAAAGCCTACCTAAATCTAAATCTAATTATCCCTTGTTATCTTATGTTAGCCTGCAACTCTTAAACTCAGTTACTAGCTTTGTAACTGTATTTTGACTATTTCAGACATCCTGAATACTAGACTAGAACTCCTCAAATCAACCCTTAAATGAATCCATAGATGAGAATGAAGTTGAGCCTACAATAATAGATCTCAGCCATGCCTGTTTGTTAGAATTATCTACAGTGTTCTGAAACACCAGAGTCTGGATTTCTTCCCCAAACCCTCCCTCTCCAGAGTTGATAGTTTAATTAATCTGAGGCTTGGCCTGAGCATCAGGATTTCTGAAAGTCCTCCCAGATGATTCTAATATGCATCCAAGATGGGGACTACTGGCTCCAAGCACAAGTCAGGAGGCCTCAGCTGTTAGTAGAGCTCTGGTGCCCAAGCACGTATCCCCCAGTGTGATAGGAAAAATACTACAAGTTTTATGTGCCTTAACTTTTTTTTCTTGGACAAGTGGACCATAGCCTATTCTTTGTTATTCCAGTTTAACCTCTCAGAAAATATGCCAAAAGTAAACAGGTGTACAATTAAACCCTACACATAAAATGGTCCAGTGTTCTCAGATCCTAAGTTCTGGCTGTGTGTGACCAAAGGCAAAGTTTTAGAACTGAATCTTTCAAATTGCTCATTACTATTCCATGCTTGGGTAAAAACCCTTGCATCACCCCACAAAGGAATGTGACTCAAGTCAAAAAGAAAACAAAAACATTTGCATTGCTTTCATGATTAGTAATGGGACTAGAGAAAGGTTGAGGTGTCCAAAACAACTTGTACTTTCTCCAAGCCATTTGAGATCTGATTCATGTTATAGTCACTACTCTTGATGCCCCCAAATGATATAGTAGACATATAATTTCTGAATGTGTAATTTCTAGATGCTTAACTTGCTTGGGCTAAATCCAAATCATGAAACTTGTTTATTATTTAAGGTGCATACTTCATACAGCAAAAACAAATTCCCCTCCCCCAACTTGCATTGTCAGAATTCTTGCCCCCAGCTCCCTAACAGAAAACAACTACAAAACAAGGATACATTTGTCTAGGGTGACTATACATCCTTGTTTTCCTGGAGCAGTCCTGGTTTACATCTGTCCTGCCAGCATAATTATTGATAACACCCTCTCACTCTCAAAAATATTTCAGTTTGGATGATAAATTATCTGGTAACCCTATGTAGAGCTCACTCAATCTGCCTTTCTTCTACAACTAGTATAACGAAACACCTCGCTTGGAATATGGCCCCTTTATGTTTAGAAAACTCCTGTAGCTAACCAGGAAAATAAGATTATTGGAAATCAATTGATAAAGATTTCTTCTTTAAAAACAAAATAAAAAAGATTTTAAAAAGTTTTCTGATGAGCTCTATCAAGATAAACAAAAACAATAACTCATTAACCAAAAGTAAGAAACCATGTACTTCCTAACTAAAACCTGTGTTCATTATCTGTGTCTGCTAACAACTATGTGACCCTGGGCAAGAAGTTTATCCTTTTTGGTCCAACTTTTCTCCTATGTCAAAGGAATGGTTTGAACTAAGTTGTCTCGCTCATCTTTTTGAGTTAAAATTCTGTGGGTCTAGATTGCTACTTTCTCTAAGTATTTTACATAGTTACAAAATGTTTTGCTTATTTTACACTTAGGCACAATATTCATTAAATGGCATCCAGAGATATCTAAGGCCCAATTGGTTTAATTCATGCTATTCATTATCTACTTTATCAAAATCATCTTTATATGTAGGAGTTATTTTTGAAGATATGATTCTTCCAATTTTTAAAAATAGTATCTATACTACTGTTTTCTGGGCATGTAAATGTTCTGTTCTGTGACTTTTTGCCGTTAAATTTCACTTAATTAGCCATTTTCTACTATCAATTACACTGTCCACAAAATATTAGGGCTATTTTTGAAAATATTTAAAGAACTGCTGGAAAGCACTGAAACATATCATGAGTAAGCATGAATCTACCAATTATACTAATACTCTTAGAGAACAAATTGTTTTGTGTTTAACCTTAAAGCAAAATAATTGAATGTACTTTCCCTCTTAATCAATAAACATAATTAAATGTCTATTGTGTACTTAGAACTGCTAAAAGCTCTAGGAATACAAAGTTAATCGCAATGTACTCTCTCAAGTAGTCATAACCCAGTGCCCCTGTATACCTGTGGGATACATCAAATGTCAGAAGATTTGTGAAAAAGACCTGAGGAATTTAGTTAGCTGTCAGGTTGACAGCAGTCAAACATGAATATAATAAATGAAAAGGTAGCCGGCGCCGCGGCTCACTAGGCTAATCCTCCACCTAGCGGCGCCGGCACACCGGGTTCTAGTTCCAGTTGGGGCGCCGGATTCTGTCCCGGTTGCTCCTCTTCCAGGCCAGCTCTCTGCTGTGGCCAAGGAGTGCAGTGGAGGACGGCCCAGGTGCTTGGGCCCTGCACCCCATGGGAGACCAGGAAAAGCACCTGGCTCCTGGCTCCTGGCTCCTGGCTCCTGCCATCGGATCAGCGCGTTGCACCAGCTGCAGCGCGCTGGCCGCGGCGGCCATTGGAGGGTGAACCAACGGCAAAAGGAAGACCTTTCTCTCTGTCTCTCTCTCTCACTGTCCACTCTGCCTGTCAAAAAATAAAAATAAAAATAAAAAAAATAAATGAAAAGGTAAAATAATATTTTGGAATGCTGAATAAAGACATGTTCAGAAATGAGACTAAGAACCCAGATATCTCACTTAATTGTAGGAAGAAGTACTGTGCTCAGTTCTAGATTCTACCCTAAGATTTCAATGTGAAAGTTGAGTAACCCATCAGTGTGCTTAGGAAACATTTGGGCATCTGGGAAACATTATCTGTACTTTATACTGCACATTTCATTTCACTTAGACTAATTATCATCTTCAGAAAGTGACAAAAGTTCCATTTGAATATTTTGGCCTTTGTACATTTCTCTGTATGTGTGTATGTCAGAACTATAGGAGGGCAGCAGAACCATGAGTCCAAGTAAGCAAAGGGATTTATGAAGCTAAGCCATTGTGCAGAGACTTCTGCTTCCAGAAATGATGGACCAGCTAATTCAAACCAACCCTTCAAGGAAAATGTTGCCAGGTGGAGCTTAAAAGATACAGAAAGAAATGCAGAATATCAGAGATGATATATATTAGATCAAATCCAAATTGATCGCTGCAATGGCTTGACCATATTCAATAGTGAGTTTATGTAATAATTATTACATAACATAAACTATAAATTAGAAAGCATTAAATGCAGCCTTAAGTTCTTTGTATCATCCAGGAAGTGACAGCAGTGCTCACTGATGTTAAAGTCAAGGATGCATATGTTGCAATTTTAATGACTCTACCAAAAGAGTAGTAAAAGAATGTAGATCACAGCTACTAGAAGATTGAAAACCACAGAATGTCAATCTAAAAGAAAACAGAAAGGAAAGATAAACACAGAAAAGCATAGATAGAAAGCAAATAGTAAACTAGCAGACATAAACCAAAATCTCAGTAACTATGCAAAATGTAAATGAACCAAAAGCAATGATATGATCAAAAGAGTAACAATGTGGTAATAAAACAATCCCTTCCGGCACAAGATGTTTGTGTGTATTTATTGCGGCTTTATAATCTTCCTTCCCCTGGAACTTATCCCAATTGGTAATGTCACAAATATCATTCTGTACTCAGAATAAATGGGATATATAGATAAGGGTCTGAAGTATTATTACATAGCATCAACCAGCCAAAAATACACACTTGTCCAACATGGAAACTCCCCAGCTCAGTCAACACATTTCACCTGAGTGACATCCAAACACCAAACAGATTATAGGCTTTGCTGCATGTGATGTA